CATGTCCTCGTGTCATCTACCCAAGAGAGGCACACTTTAACTCAACTCTTGTGTCTGTTCGTCGTATTGTTGTTGTGCTTCTGATTGCATTGTTATTGTTTTTTGTATTTTTTGCTGTCTTAAACAGTTAGTCCTTGTACAAATCATGCCACGAGGAGAGTGTTTTGTTGTTATTATTGTTTTTTCTTGCCGATGATATTCTTTCCCAATCAGCTGATTCAAGGTTGTCCTTTTTGTTTGTTGGTGGGTAATTGTTGTTGTTATTGTTCGTTTTTGTGTTCATCTCTCTCCTCCTTTGAGTTTATCTACTCTGGGAATGTATCTGTTGTTCAGTTTCTTTTCTAGTTATGTTTTAACTATCTTTGGTGTGGTTTATACCTATTATGTACTCATTTTCTTTTTAATGCTATTATCTGTGATTAATTTCTCCTATTTTCATTAATTCTCCTATCTGATAAGTATTTATTTTCTTTTCGTCATTTCACATGATTCCGATTATTGGATAATAGTTTTCATGTATTATGTGTTAAACTGGCCAAGACTATCTTTTGACCCCTCTCGATTTCCCCTTTAGCTCCTACAAATTATCTTTCTACTTTTTGAGTAATTTTATATGTATTCAAAAGATTTTATATTATTTCTTATTTTATATTAAATTAAAATTAAAAAAAGAAATGATTTTTAAAGTTCTCTCATTTTATTCTCTCCTTTTCTCTCAAGTTTTTATCCGCCTCATTTTCTCGGTTAAAAATAAAGTGGGGATATAATGAAGCATAGGAACTAAGGAAAATAATTGTAAACTCTATTTTAAATAAAAGTTATGAATTAAGAAGATTTTTATTAAAGTAATATAAATTTGCAGGACCCAGACAAGATTCTCTAAATTATTTAGAAAGTAGGGTTATGCAAATAATGAGAGATTATTTAGAATATTTTTTGAAAGTCTCCTTAAAAAACAGTAAATGAATTTCATATATTTCATATATATATTTTTTAGTTCAGAAACTATATATTTCAGAGACTTTTTGGATCAGACAGAATATTCTGACTTAAAAATAAAATATGGTTATGTTGAAAAAATAAGGTTATGTAGACAATTTAAAAATATTTGGAATTTAAGAAATTAATTTTTATTATAAAATATTTTAGAAGCTTTTTTGACCAGACAGAATATCATCAGTTTAAAATAAAATAGGGATAAGTTGAAAAAGTGAGGTTATGTAGACAAATTGTTGAATGACTAGGTTTTATTTTAAAATATTTGTAATTTAAGAAATTTATTTTTATTATAGGTAAAAATAAAGATAAATGAATTTGTCGACTCCAAAAAACACCCATATACACCTATAAAAGATAATATGACGATGATTTTTTGAAATGTGGGAGAAGCGAATTTTGTAGTTTTTTAGGATTATTTTAATAATACTTACATTCGTGATTGTGATAAATAGGTGAGGTTGATTTAATATTATGGCCCGCCCTAACTTCTATGTATTAAAAATTTTTAATATAATTCGTGAAGTAGTTGTATAACCCTCCTTCAGGCTTAAAATCAAATTCCAATTTTTTTACAAATGTAGTTCAATGTGTTGTTAATATGGATGTACGTATGTTTGTTCTGTCATCCGGCATTTATGGTGCTTCAGCAGCAAGAAAAAAAAGAAATATGACGACAAAACTTGGACTTTGCTATAAAACTTGGTGTGCCTCTCTTGTTTCTGGCTGCCATTTGGGGTTATTTTACATATTTATGGGACACCATCGTACATATGTACATGCATATAAATATTAAGGAACATAATGTACGCCTTACAAACTAATCCCAACCATTAATTTGTTTTAATTATTCAATATTTTTATGATCATTTAGTTTTTAACCCTTCAGAAAAGTAATAAAAAACATATGTGACACACAACATTCGTCAGCATGGCAGCCTGGCACATAAACAAAAAATTGCATTTGAAATATTTTATTTGGAGGATGACAAAAATTATAATGGATTTAAGAAAAATTAATATCCCAAGATCAAAAGCATTGTGTGGAAATAGCCCACAATGGCTTACAGAAGTCCAAAGAATAAATTAACAGCAATTCGGTTAATCAAAGTGGTCTTTTAATACTGAAAATATTTAAAATTTTTCGAATTTCGGAAAAAATTTTCTAGAAAAATAAAAAATAATGCATTGAATTTGTCCCCCATGTCCTTAAAAAGTGCAAAGAATTAAGAGAAAAATATGGTTAAAAGGTAAAAATGTGTTGAGTATTACTGATTTATTTTATTAATTTTTGCCCATGATATGATATTTCTTTAAATTTTTCGTTTTCCCTTTAATTTTTAATGTTTAAAAATGGAACAATTGTTTTAATTTTCTTGTTTTAAATAATTTTATTTGCTCATAGTTTTGAACAATTTTATTTAATTTATTTAATTATTCTTTTTTTGCAAATGCCTAACATTCCTTATCATCATTTTGGCGCTTTTTTGCATATTTTTTTTTCTTATACTTAGGCCATTATTTCTTCTATACAAATCACACATTTACATAGAATGCTAATCTCAACAACCAAGTGCATACACAATTAAATTTATTATATAGTATAAGAGCATAACAGCAATAACAACAACTACAACTAGTAGAGAAGAGGAGACCCCCATCAGGCACAATGTATACATGTATATACTTGTTCACACAAACTTGTTTTAGTTAAAAGTATTTTTTTCTTCTTCTTCTCATTATTATCCGTACCACCTCCCCATTGATAATGTGTCGTGTCGTCTCGTCTTTTAAGTATGCTGTTGGTGTGTGTATGTGTTGTGCTTTTTTTGCAAAGCAAAATCCTTTTGTGCTCGATGTTCTATAAAGTTTGCCGCTTTTTTTCTTCTTCTACTACATAACTACATTGCAAAAAAAACAAACAAAAAGCGCGCAAAAATCCTCTCCTCTCTATATATTTCTCTCATGCTGCAGAGATTTAACTAAACAAAATATAAATACATTTGTATGGAGGACACCCATAAACTTTTGGGCTTGAGGGGAGTTAAACGTATGTGTGTGTATGTTGAGAGAACACCAAGAAGGAGCTGCTCCATTGTATGATTTGCCAAAGAAGACGAAGAATTTCTTTGTTTGCGCGCAGACTGGCAAAAGCCATAAACCACCAACAATGATCATTGAGAAATAAAAAGCACAGCAAAACAAAAACACAAACAGCCCACCACGGCAGTTGCGGCAGCAGCCGCCGCCACCGCGACAGCTAATAACAACAAATAATACTCTAACTTTTTTTCTTTGAGGTTGAGGACAACCAACAACAAACAGCCACATTGCCCGGCAATATATTTCTCAAGAAATTCCAAAGTTTTGCCAGTTACCTGAGTATGTTTCTTTAGCTCCACCAATCAACCAAGAAATCATGGTCCCGATTCTCATGATCATCATCATCTTGTTCTTCGTTGGCTTTACTGTCCCCAACTTATTTGCTTGTCGCATTCGGTTCATTGATTCGTGATTTGTTTGTTTTCGTGTATTGTGTGTGTGCAAAAGTGTGTGTATGGTGTTGGGGAGCCTTATTTTTCTCCCCCCAATTTGCAAATGTGTGTGTATGTGAGCACTGGGCTTCACTGGATTGCCGGTATAAAAGCTTGCGCGCCAAAAATTGTTTGGCATTCCCAAAGCCGCAGCCTCCAAGTGATTACAGCAAAGCAAAAAACAACTCGTCTTCTAGTTGGGGGTTTCTTTTTTGTGTTCAAGGATAAAGTGGATTTCTTATAGCCAGACAAATTGCTATTGTATGTACCAAGAACAAGCAGAAGTTCTAATAAAAATCAAAGTGAAAAGAAAAAATTGGGATCCTTCAATATCAATTTAATTCTAGTGTTAAAATCTGAGATTTATTCTTTTTTTTCAATACCATTTTTGTGTATACCCATATTCCCCTTTTTCCTCGGTGTAAGCTTAAAATCCATTACACTTGTTCCATAGACGATCCTCTGGTCTGTCCTGTTGGCTCATTCATTGTTGTTGTTGGACCATGGAATCTTTTTCAATTCCTTTCATTTCACTCGTAACAAAAACAAAAATCATATGGTTTTTGTTGTTATATTCATTTTCGTTGTCTTCGTTTTTCTCAGCTCATCATCTCATCTCTTTGCCGCTGCTGCTTCAAGTAAAAAATTCTTCTTGTATTTTTTTTTCATCTTCCTTGGCTGGCTGGGTATCTGACTGAAGAGCGGTGGCGGTGGCAACAATACTTGCTTTAGCCTTCTATATTCCCTTTTTTCCAACAACAACAACATCTATTGGTGTTGTTTTTGTTTTCTTTTTTTTTATTTTCTACTACAACAAAATATTCTGTCGAGCAATCCTTAGAATGGAATGCCCTTTCTTTTTCTTTCCCATTGCAATTGTTGTTATGCTCTCTTTGATAGCAGTATTATTTTTCTGTTGAGCCACACACTCTTCCCTCTCTGTCTCTGTGTATGGTATGTGAGAACAACACACAGCTGATTGCCAACTCACTGAGCTCAGTGGCAGAGTTATTTGTTGTTGCCGCCGCACTGCGAGAGCCATACACAGTGTATGTGTGTTGTTGTGTGTATGCACAACGGTGGTGGGTTTATCGATTGTTGAGCAGGAGCAGAGGTTTTGCATTGCATTGGCTGCGTTGACGTCGTGTATATAAACCGCCGTTGCCTCAGCAAAGTCAGTCATTCGAGTTTGTCTTCTCTTCAGCAACGTTCAGCAGCAGTAAAGCAGCATTAGATCTGACTTACTACTGCATTTGAAACAAAAAATCATTAAACATAAAATTATTTGGATTAACTAAACAAACACAAAAAATTATGCTTAAAAACATTTGATAACACAAATATCAAATAAATTTGCAATATGAACTATTCTTAACACACCGCCACACATACAAAGAGACATACACTACTCTTAACAAAAAATAAAAAAATTGTGCATTATTATAAACATTTAACAAAAAACAAAAACAATCGCAAGTGAAAATTGTGTTTTAACAATTTTACAAAAACCAATTTAAACATTTTCATCAACACACATTAAAAACCAACACACACAAACACACAATGTTGTGGGAATCAATCATTGAAGAATCCGGAGATATTGCCATGGATTACCAAAGGTAAATATCAACAACAACAAGCCAAAAAACAAAAGTGTTTTATTTTGCAAAACTGTGGATTACCTGCAAAATTTAACAAAATACGCCTCTGTGTTCTGAAGCAAAAAAAAGATTTCCCAACTTCAACCTTCAAATGAAATCAAAAGTTTTTTAAAGCTCTCTCTCCAAATTGTGGAGCTTTACTCATGGTTGTGTTACTTCTTGGGGTTGGCTAACTGGCCGGCCCCACTCACACACCACTCATTCATTCATAAAACAACCGGTGTAATAACACAAAAAACCAACTATGTTCTCGACCTGACCCAATAATTGTCTTGGCCTGGCCATAAACACAATTTCTTGGCAAAGGCGGAACATCTGCCTATTATTTCATGCTTTGTTGCACTCCACAAAAGTTTTTTGGTGGTGGTGGCACTGCTGCACTAAAAAACTATCTCAAGAATAAGTGACTGAACTGACTTCACGGCAAATATTTTGTTTACATTTTTTTGTCGCTTGGCTGTTTCATTGGCCTTAATGTGATGTGTTAAACATCTGCACCGTTGGTTTCCTCAAAAACCCCTCAGTTTTTCTAATTTACAAAAATTCCAATTCCTCTTCCCTCATCGAAATTATGGGACAGCCGCCGCACATGGTGTGTGTAATACGCCAACAAAACACCAGCAAAGCAGCAGCAGCAACAACAATTTACAACCCTCGAGTTTAATGAACCCTCCTCTGAGTTTGGCCTCAGCATTTGTAGTCAACTCGGCACAGCTCAGTTGCATTTCTACCCTCAACATGATCGTACAGTTTTTAATTTTGTCTGCCGATTGTAGCAGCAAACGCTGCCTCACTCCTCATAGTCGTCCTTTGGAAATTTGCTTCATGTACATATTATTCTGCTTTGAAAACATTTTCAAAATATATTTCAAAGAAATATTTTACTAATTTATTTTTTTCTTTTTCTTCTATTTTTAGCTTCCAAATCCAAAGAAATACCCGCAATCCTTTGTCGCGCCGCTTGAACTTGGATGCTTCCATGCCAGACATGACCATGGATGAACTGTCTTTCTATGGTGAGGATCACTCCTCTCAAGATCGTCACTTCACCGCCAGTCCACAATTGATGGGTCTCTTGTCGCCTGAAGGCTCACCTGAACGCTTCCAAATTGTCGACAAATCCAGCAAATTCTTGCACAGCCGCAAAGCCTTGAACTTGAAATCATTGGCCTCGCAAAATGCCAAGAACACAGTCACCAGCTCAAACACTCCCTCAAAAGGCAGCTTCCGCGTTTTCCAAAGCATGTCCTCCACCGGTTCCATGGAATCATCTATGGATGATGAATACATGGAATTTTTCGATATGGAAAATCTTGAACCCCAACAACAACAAAACTTCCCCAGCGATTTGAGCTCACTGATCAGTGGCCAAATCATCAAGAATTCCCCCGTCAAAACTCCAGAAATGCGCCGCCCCTCAGTGAGACGTTGCTTGAGCATGACTGAAAACAACCAATACACCAAGACCCCCGAAAGTAGCCTAAATGCTGCCGCCAACAACAACAACTCAGCCTCCCGTCTGAATGGCAGCTTCAAGCGTCCCGAACCACCATCCACCACCTGCTCACCCATCCAAAGCAAACGCTACCGTGGCGATGAGAAAGAGAATTTGGATGGTTCATTCACTGGTCTGCAAAAGAACACCTCCCCCAGCTCCACAGCCGCTCCCCGCCCCAGCCTCCGCAAATGCATGTCAATGAACGATGCCGAAATCATGTCTGCCCTCAACCGTTCGGAAAACAATGACGAACCCGATTTAATCGGCGATTTCAGCAAACCCTATGTCTTGCCCTTGATCCCAGGCCGTCATCGTGATCTCAAATCGATTAGCAGTGAAACCGTAGCTCGTCTCTTGCGTGGTGAATTCGACGATAAAGTAGCCAACTACAGAATCATCGATTGCCGTTACCCATACGAATACGAGGGTGGTCACATCCGTGGCGCCAAGAACCTCTACACCCAAGAACAAATCATCGAAGAATTCTTGTCCCAACAAATGACTGAAATGCAACAAGCCCGCAACGAAGCCTCCGGCAACAAGCGCAATATCATCATCTTCCACTGTGAGTTCTCCTCCGAGCGTGGTCCCAAACTATCCCGTTTCTTGCGCAACTACGATCGCGCACGCAACACCAATGCCTACCCCGCTTTGGATTACCCCGAGGTATACTTGTTGCACAATGGCTACAAAGAGTTCTTTGAAAACCACATTGAGCTCTGCGAACCCCATGCCTACCGCCCCATGTTGGAACCCGCCTACAACGAAGAATACCGCATCTTCCGTGCCAAGTCAAAGTCATGGAATGGTGATTTGGGTGCCGGCACAACCCGCATGAAGAAGTCTCGTTCCCGTTTGATGCTGTAAATGGTGTGCCATCGCACCAACAGCCTGACTACTTGAACAACACCCGCCCACAAACAAACGCTAATCTATGTAAAAAATATTTGTCATTGTTATTGTCAGTTTTAGTTATTATTTGATTATTAGTTCGTTTTGTTGATTTTTATTTCTTGACCCCCCTCAACCACCAACGATCTTTTGAGACAATTTCCTAATTTTTTTATTTTGTATTAAATTTTATTTGCTGCAATTTATGATTGATTGTATTTGTAAAAAATCCTCAAAAAATTGTAGGAAGCTCAATTAAGAACCTCCCCAACCCATCCCCACCCACCTCTCTAGTATTTTATAAGAATTATTATTTATTTTATATAATTTTAGTTAATTTATAGAATTTGCATTTATTTTTTAGTCGTCTTTTTTTAGATACCACATTTTTAGTTGAATTTGTGTATAGTTTAAAATTTTCCCAATTCCAATTCATTCAAATTGTGTGCATTAGAATCATCAACCCCACCTCTCATCATCTGCCCCGCCCCAAAAAAAACATTAATCCCAAAAAAACACAAAGAAGCTTAAAATTTTAATTTTAACAAATCTTTCGTAAAGTTGAAAACTTTTTACGCACAATTACGCTTATTTTTTATGTTAATTCTATTTTTATTTAATTTTAATGATTTATTTTTATTTAAAGCAAAGCTTTTTTGTATCAAAAAATGCAATATAAGAAATTAAACAAAAATCGTCGAAAAGAAATTACAAAAAACCACAAAAAAAAATAATAAAAAAATGTTATGAAATATAAAACAATTGTCTTTTTTATTCTACTATTTTAAAATTGAAACATACCAGCATTTAAAAACAAATGGGAAACAATTTTTAAAAATAAAAAAATAAATGTTTTTAAAATTATTTAAATTAAATTGAAAATTCTTCAGTATCTACAAAACATTGTCTAATAATAAATAGATAATTGTTTTAAATATTTCAAATAATAAATTCATGTTTCTCATAAAAAACTCTTGAAAATTAAAATGAATTTTAATTAAATTTGAAAAAAAAATTAAAAAATAACTTATTTACAGTAAATTAAAATAATTTTAAATTTCTATATTTTCAATTAGTTATGAGAATGAAATTTTAATTTCCAATTATTTTTTCGATTTTATTGTAATTATTTTTCAAAATGCATATTATAATAAGCGTAGTTGTAATCGTATTAAATTAACAATTTACTTTTAAAAGAAATCACACTTGTCGCGGGGACATATATTTTTTGTATCTTTTTTTGTATTTATTTTCAAAAACAAAACTGTGATTTTATTTTCTAATTCATATTTTTTATTTAGCAATTATATAGGACCATCTCCAAATTGATTGATGGATTATTATATATATCCATGAACATGTATATTTTTTTAGGATTTCACTTTTAATTTTTATTTATGATTTCTTTATGTTTTTGTATTCGAAATACTCATATTCTACATAAAATGTGGGAATAGTAAAAATAAAATTATTTAAAAAAAATGTAATTTAAAAAGAGTTTTATTATAGAGAACGGTATTTGCATATTTTAAAATGGTTTGTATACAAATTTTATTTAAAGAATTTGAATAGCTTATTTAATGAACGTGTTGATTAAGTCGCGCCAAATCCTAGAAAAGACCCACGAAAAACACATCGAGACATTCCACCTATTCGTCGACTATAAAACCGCATTCGACAGTCCTATCCGTTCAGAGGTGTTTAAAGCCATGTCTGAATTTGGCATTCCTCCAAAATTAATTCGGCTATGCAGGATAACTTTAACTGGCACAGGATCAGCAGTTAAAGTCGGAAAGGACCTCTCGGAGCGCTTTAATACCGAACGAGGATTCAGACAAGGTGACAGTTTGTTGTGTGACCTTTTTAACATCCTGCTGGAAAAAGTCGTACGAGAGGCAAAGATGAACAGAAATGGGACCCTGTACTGCAAACAACACATGTTACTCGCCTACGCCGATAACATCGACATATTAGGGCGAACATTGTGAGCGGTAACAGCCACCTTTGAACAAATTGAGAAGGAGTCTGCCAAAGTGGGTCTGACAGTAAACGGCGAGAAGAGCAAGCTGATGGTATCAACGCGCAAGACGTCCAGTTGACTCAAACCAACTGTGGAACTTGAAAACTACAGCTTCGAGGTAGTCAAAGACTTTATATACCTTGGTACCGCCATAAATACAACTAATGACATCAGTTTTAAAATTCGGAGAAGGATAGTGTTGCTGCTATGGTCTGAGTAAGCAACTCAAAAGCAAGGTCAGGCCAAACTCACACTCTTCATCCTCTTTTGAGAATGGATGAAGATGCCCCAGCCCAAAAGGCATATAAAAGCGAACCAGCTGATGGTTCACGCAGAAGAGGAAGGCCACGAATAAGATGGAAAGATTAAGTGGAAGGCAACATTGCCGAAAATAGTCATTCAAATTGGAAAAACTGCGCCTAGAAATCTTTTTTAAGCTCGTCTTATGGAACGAAAGTTTTGTCACAAGCCAGCTAAGCTGATATCTACGTTAAGAGGTATAGGAAAATGGATGAACGAACATCTACATCGTCGATGTCGCATGCTTCGTAGTAGAATACATCTAATGTTTAACAGAATTATACACCCAAAACTTCATCTCTGAAGTAGGATCGCAACATCATTTAAACCTTTGCCACAGAAACCACCTAATTGGTCTCCGATCGAATTGACTTCCAGAATATGTATGTAATAACTATGTCTAAATATGGAATTTAAATTGTCTCAAAATAAATTACTAAGTGCATTATGAACAAATTATCTGGAGTTGTGTCATAATTCAATTAATCAAAACCATTTTTTTAATAATAACCCTTAATCCAGTTAATCAAAACCTTTTTTTTTAATTCCCTTGGTATATTTTTTAGTATCCCTCCCTTTTACATTCAATTACTAAGTGCATAATTAAATGTAAAAGGAAAAGACTGGGCAATGTGAAATATAAAATAAATAAAATATATTCCATATAAAATGCTTGCCATTATTATCATTATAAACTGTCCATCTTTGCATCGACAGGGCGACATCTGACGGAAAGTATCAACGTTTACATGAATTTGCTATCGACTAGTCAATTCCTTAGCACCAATGCAGCTCTGCCTATTTATAACTTCAATTTTTGTATATATTCGTAATATAAAAAAATTGTTAATATAATTCTATTTGAAATAGGTAGGCGACTTATATCAAGGAGAAATATTTATTAAAATATACACGTTGGGAACAAATTGCTTGCATTTTAATAAGCCTAAAAGCGTCCCGCCAATCTGCAATACAACTCTTTGATCACACATTACTCTATGCCCAAATGCAGCGCTGAAGAAGCAAACGGTATAAAGTGTAACAAAAGTTCCGTTATTCGACGCTCACATTTTCATCGCCATTCATTTTTGTGTGTTCCACGAGTAATTTTTTACTACGAAAATTCGCGTCTAAGCTTTAAAAGATTCGAATAGTATTGCGGAAAATATACGATATGTCGGAATTACCATGCTCCAAATGCCATCAACCCGGCAAATTTTATTGTGAGCGTTGTTTGGAGCCCTACTGCAGTTCGGATTGTCAAATTGGTGATTGGCAGGAACATAAAACGAAATGCTTTAAAATTCCGTAAGTAACATGCTTGGGAGCAAACTACCCACATACCCATTGGTACATACATATAGTAACTTTAAATTCCCTTTGCAGCAATCTCATACCCATTGTAAAGGCCACCAGTACTCTGAGCCTTAGAAGCGATACCTCATTTCGACGTTCGTATGGCGGGTCCAAGGAGAATATAAATGATACAAGGCGTAGCAACAATAGCACAAGCTTTGGCGGCTCGAAGGCACGCAATCCGATAGAATGTGGTGAAAACTGCACTGGGGCAAAACCCAAAAAACTTTTACAAGATGGAGATTTTACTCTGGTAACAAAATCGGCTGCTGCTACTTCAACACCAATCCCTACATCTGTAGATGTAACACCAACCCCACTTGGCAACATTGCCAATTTGGCAATCTCAAATCCCCCAGCAGCAGCAGTTAATGTAGAGAAACCAGCTAATTGGCGTATGCATTTTATCCCACCCAATGGTTACTTCGATGCCATTGTCCAATTTGTTGAAGAAGTCGAACATGCTAACAAACGCTTCTTATGGGTAACCGACATTAAATATGACGGACCCTTGCGGAAACTCTTGGCCGAAATAAATCGAAATATCAATCAACAAGAACCCTGTAAGGCTGAGTTCATATGCCCGGGAGCATTGGTGGCAGCTCCATTGGGAAAAATTCTATACCGAGCAGAAGTTTTAGATTGTTCCGCCCAGGCCCAGAAGGCAGATGTACGTCTAATCGATTATGGAAATGAATTGCGAGTTCCGTACAATCAACTATTTGCTCCCATACCGATAATGATAAATCTGAATGCCTACGCTTTTCGTGTTTGCTTGCGTGGTGATTGTGGTCCATTGGATTTAGAGACGGTATTGACGATTAAAGTAGTTGGGCAAAAACATTCCGATGGCTATTACAATGTGGAATGTAAAGAGAAGACCATACCCATGGAATTGCCGGTGGAACTGCTAACAAAGGAGAAATCATTGACTGTTGTTAAATACTTTGTTGATGGCCGACATGCCCTGTTACGTCTAAGTGGTATTGCGGAACTTGCTTCCTTGGATGAAGTTTTAAATTCAGAACAAACAATACAATATGAATTTGATAAAGTTCCCAGTGAGGGGACATTTGTGGCCGCCCGCACTAAACATGGTTGGAAACGTGCCCGTCTCTTGGCCTACTGGGAAAAGGGCCATGAGTTCTTAATTTACTCAATTGATGAGGGTTTCATAGCACGTTCACCACAAATCAAACGCATACCCACCGCCTTCTTATGTCATCCAATGCAAGTATTTGCCGTCTCCACAAGTTCGGCAGATTATATGCTATCCGAAACAATGTTGTCTACAGTTAAGAAATTGTCGATTCAATTATTGCCGGCGACTTCGGTAACTGCGGGAAAAGATTCCAAGACCCATTTGTCGTGTGCTCTATTTGAGGATGCACGAAAAATTGTCGATGTTGTCATCGCTTCAGTTTTCACGGGGTGTATTAAGGAATTGGACATTGATTTGTGGTATGATATACCCGGTCCTGGCTCATTTGTAACTGTCAGCCATGTTATCACATTTAAAGAGGTCTATATAGCCGCATTGGAAAGTAGAGATTACGAGAAAATATTTGATACCGAACAGCTGAAATGTGTTCCATTCGATAATGGGGATGAATTGAAAAAGGGCACAGTTGTTTTTATTCGCGATCAACAGGGAAATAACTATCGTGGTCAGGTAAGTTTGAAAGTCCACAATTTATTAGAAAAAATATTTTAACAATAAGGTTTGTTAATCATTGAGGTTTGTTAATCATTGATCGGTAGCTCTTTTCGAGAGTTATCGTGTGCACCAGCCGGACATTTGTAATTCTACTCCAAGTTGTCTGAAACGGATTTGATCCAAAGAAACATGGGGTCTAAAATCAATATTTCGATGAGGTACATTTTCACCGTATCAAAGTGTACATACCCTCATTAGCCACAAGGCTGAGGGTATAATGAATTAAACTAAGGTTTATTTATGGTAGAGTTCTTTTGATCGGATTATTCGTGGATAAAATACCGCCTTCATATATATTGTCAGCAATATCTTAAGGCTGCTAGACGCTTTTGCCAAACAATATTGATATTTTAGGTTCTCGAAGGCGAAAATACCTCAAACTACCAGACTTATTTCTCATTATAACCTTAACCCTAAAGCTAATGACGAAAATACGCCTCAAGGATAGATCGCTTTTTAGACAACAATAATCGTTGGTCCAACTTCGTTTCAATTGGCATCGATTTGGAAATATCCGTACGGTCCTGATTCAAATTTTTACATCGTCTTATTTCTTCCTAACATAAATCATGTCCGAAGATAGGCCATATCGTTCCACTCCTCTTATCACCACCTCAAAATAAATTCGGCCAAAATGTAGTTGAGCATTTTTATTACCGATCCCAGCTCGCGTTCAAAAAAAGGTCCTATCGGTGTACTTCTGGTATCTTCCTTACAAGGAGTCAACATTTTGGAAGTCTTCGTTTAACACATTTGAAATGTTTTCAAAAGAGAATGCTTAAATCTAAATGGAGTTCGAAAATTGGCCCTATCGGTATACTGCCTCTAGCACCTCCCTTAGAAATGGTACACATTTTGAAAGTCTTCGTTTAATACATGGACAAGTTTTGAAAAGGGAATGCTCTTCCCAAATTTATGGTCTGGGAATTTTCATTCATTTTATTTTGGAAGGGGAAATTCACTTAAACCAATGGTCAATCTTTTTTGTAATAAATGTTTCGAAATATCGTTTTACCCCTACTTCGGACAAATAAAAAATAAAATAAATAAATCTTTAAAATTTTAGATAATCGACTGCGAAAACAATAACTATCGAATTAAAAACGTTGACAAAGGTGGAGAATATAGTGTCGATCTTAAATGCCTCTATAAGCCAACAAATCTAATCCGTTATCTTCCTGTTCGCTGCGCACTAATTAAACTCATGTATTTATCAACGGTACCAACTCCAATTGCCTATAACAAAGCATTAACGTCGCTGGAGAAATGTATGGAAAATTCGGCAGAATTTGAAGTTTTTGCTGATAAGGAAAATACTGGAATTGATTTGTTATTCCGCACAAAAGAAAGACAATCGCTTTGTAAAAAATTATTACCACTTGTATTTGATGCAGCCGAAGTGCCATGCACAGTACCACTCTATAATAATCCGACCACACAACCAGCTCCACCAGAAATTCCAAAAAGAATTGTGGTGAATGAAAATCCACCCGCTACACTTACCCCACCCAATACTCCCATTACAACGGAATTGCCTACAGCAACTGCTGCTGCAGCAATGTCACCAAAAATTCTAACCCTTGATGATTTGGAAATTATACCCATACAGTGTGGAGAAAATGCTGAACTGTATACCTTGGATGCCACATCAATAGTGAATTTGGAGGGACCCTATATAACAGCGGCTGACTTTAATAACAAAACTTATTTGAGGAAATTGGAAGCCAGCCTGGCATTAGTTGCTGAATACTGTAATAGTCCCAAAGCTCCCAAGGGTGGTTATTCACCAAAGTGAATATTTAATTTAATGTAGTTTTTTGAATATTTTAAACAACAATACAACAATTATTTAAGCTCCTCTTTACACCTAGCATAAATTTGCATATATACATACAAATTAAGCTCTTACAATAATGTATTTTTGTGTTTGTATTTTTTTAATTTTAGAAAAATGGAATTATGTTTATCTGTATTCGCTGATGATGGCCAATGGTATCGTGCCATGTGTATAGATTCACAAAATGACATCTGTTTGGTATTATTCCTTGACTATGGTAATCTATCCAAGGTAAACAAAAAAGATATCATGCCAATGATACCGGAACTAATGTTTCCCTCAAATGCCAATATGGTTTATATTGAAGGTAAGTAATGGATGCCAAAACTTTAAATTGGAAATTATTTTATTTATAATTTGTTGTTTTTTATGTTATTTTACAGGTATAAAAACCAAGGAACAAGCTTTGAAATTTGCAAAATCCTTGCAATCGAATCCCATTATTAAAGCCCACGTAACTCATATTCCAGAGAGTGATGCATACCTTGCCAAGGTACATGATTTGGAGAAAATAATCGCTTAAACAGCGTTCGCCCTGCCCTGGTGGCACATATTTTATAAGCAATTTTATTTTGTATGTTTTTAAAACATATTGAATTTCGTTTATTTTTATTTTTTTAAGTTTTATCATTTATTTTATTTTACTTGACTACTTTTTGTATGCTGTAGCGAATCAAATTGAATTACATTTTGTTTTTTAATAAAAAAATATTGATTTTATTTTTTTCAAAGAAAAATGTGTTTTACTCAGGTATCAAAGTGAAGCGAAGGCCTTCAGAAATATAGGTGTGGATTTTTTAAAAATATTTTATGATGACTTATCAGATTAATAGGCGTGGTTGTTTTAATAATATTTTATGATGACTTATCAAATTAGTAGGCGTGGATATTTTAAGAATATTTTATGATGACCTATCAGATTAATAGCAGTGGATTTTTTTAAGAATATCTTCGGGATGTATTTTATTCTTTCAATACCTTTTGTATTTCATTTTATTGTTTCATGGACTTTTCTCTTAACCTGTCATGTATGTAGGATATAGCACAGGCTACCCAAATCGGCCGTACTTTTTTCTTTATATTTAACAACAAACTTTTTCGATATTTTACATATCTTTAAATGTTTATACAATATATGTAACGCCAATATGTAATAAAACTTTAGAATTTTATCTAAATATTTGTGCAAAAATTATGAAAATCGGTTAAGTAGTCGCTGAGTTATTTGCATTTGAATTCTACCTTGTTTTGAATTGCACCTTCTATTCGCTGCTGGGCGCCTATTACCCGAAAATGAAAAACCATACAAAAATCCGTTTTGTAAAAATGGGGAAAAATTGCTCTCAGTAATAGCAACTGTGTATGTATATGTAAAGTTGTGTTACATTAAATTTTGTGCCTAAAAGTATGCTATAAATAGCTTTACAAACCAGCACCGTTGTGAATGAGGAAAAAATTGCAATTTTTACAAAACCGATTTTTGTATGGTTTTTCATTTTCAGGTAATAGGGGCCCAGCACCGAACAGTAAGTGAGACTCGCAAGAAGGTAGAATTCAAATGCAAATAACTCAGCGAATACTTGACCGATTTTTATAAATTTTGCACATATGGTTAAAGGGAATTTTAAAGATTTATTACATATTAACAATGCATATATTAATTTATGTAACTTAAGAGAAAATTGACATTATGTGAAAGTTCAAAGATATTTAAAAAATCGACAAATTTTGTGGTTAAATGTTAACAAAACAATATAGGCAATTTGTGCAGGCTGTGCTATATCCTTATTATTGACATCGTAAAGGCCTCTTAAGTCAAAAAGCTAGGAAATGTTCAACTTTTTTGAAGGATTGTCAAACGATTAATTATTGATTTTTTAAACATTTTTTGGACGACAGTAAATACTGTTACCAATACTAAGCATGATCGTAGAGAAATAAAACAAAATATATTTTCAATGTTTTTTTATAAACTGTTGCAACTTTATTAGGGGTCAATTTAAAATCAAAGCTTTGGCAATAAAAAACATCAAATTAAAACAAAAGTCATACAACTGGAATAATTCCGAGTATTTTAAATGGTATGTTTAGCAGAGAAATGTATAGTTTTCACATAATTGAAATGAAGTAAAAAACATAATAGGAAATATGTAAATAGCAATAGCTGTTCTAAATAAGTTTTGCGTCATGCAGTTTTCTGAGCAATTCTTTGCTTTCAATAAATGTCACATCATCGAATATTTTGATGCTATCAACATTTAGTTTAGTAAAATTGTGCAGCTCTTTTTCCAAGAACTCGATTAAATCATCACTTAACTCCTGAGGAAGACCTACAAGAAATACAAAAAATAAATCATTTAATTAAATAAACATTTAGGAAAACTTTATAAAAAATATACCTTCAATTGCACACAAATTCGTGCAGCATGGTATGTTTAAGGACATGGGATAGCGTCTTATTGATGTGCTGGTCAGCTCACATTCATTGGTAAAATCTATATAGGCTACCAAAAATTTATCATCGTCTAGAACTTCGACCACTTTGCCACGATACCATTCCGATTCAAATTCAGCGATGCAATATTCATCAAGTCTGGAAAAAAGTAATAAATTGTTTGTAATACGATAATTGTTTGTGGCATTTTTTTTTAGCTTACTTTGGTTTGTAGGGCTGTCCCGAACCATTATAGTTTTGTAAAAACTTTTGTATTGCTTGTAATTTGTCACAGTCCTTTTCTAATATACAGCCAATATAACCACGAGCCACATAGGAATTGTCAACCACAACAATTTTAACATTTTTGGCTTTGGGATCGAATGGTATCGTTTCGAAAGGCTGAAATATATAAGAGTGAATTGGATTTAATTGAAACATATTAATAGGATTTTTAAGAATGTTTTTGATGAACTATTGAATAAAAAGTTGCCAGATTAATAGCGATGAGCGGTCAGATTAATAGACGATCATATTTTAAGAATTATTTTTGATACGCGATTTTTTAAGAATATTTTTTGATCAACTATCAGATGAATAGACATGGATTTTTTTAAAAATTTTTTTGATGAACTACCATATGAATAGGCGTGGATTTTTCAAGACTTTTTTTTTGATGAATAGGCGTGGATTTTTCAAGACTATTTTTTTGATGAATAGGCGTGGATTGTTCAAGACTATTTTTTTGATGGATAGGCGTGGATTTTTCAAGAATATTTGTTGATGAGCTATCAGATGAATATTCGTGGATTTTTTAAGAATATTTTTTGATGAGCTATCAGATGAATAGAGATTTTTTAGGAAAATTTTTTGATGAGCTATCAGATGAATAGCCGTGGATTTTTTAAGAAAATTTTTTGATGAGCTATTAGATGAATAGAGATTTTTAGGAAAATTTTTTGATGAGCTATCAGATGAATAGCCGTGGATTTTTTAAGAAAATTTTTTGATCAACTATCAGATGAATAGGCTTGGATCTTATTACAATATTTTCTAATGAACCTACAGACCAAATGGAGTGGATTTTTTAAGAATATCAGATTAATGTGTGTTTGATGATCACATTACAATATACTTACAGGTACCATACACGGTTTAGGTATTTGTCTTGGTGGCGGAGGTAAATTCTTCTTTTTACCACTGCTACCAGGTGAACAATTTTCACTTTCATTCTTTTCAGGTGTCTTCAATTCACTTTCCAACTTTTTCTGAGGTGTTATTTGGCTTTGGCCATTCACTTGTGCTGAGGAATTTAATTTATCCTCGTTGTTATCATTTGAGGTAGAAGATGTATTTTCGGCATCCTTTAAATTAAATTCTTGGCATATTGACAAAATTTCCGTATTTAGTAATTTTTCACTATCCATATGATACAGTTCAATATTGCCTCCCATCGAATCTGTGTCTACAACCCGCATCCTAAACTCTTTGCCAACATTTTGTGAAATGTGTTCAAGAAATTTCGTTTCCATGGAATAGATGGTAACATTGTGCAGTTGTACCATATGGACATAACATGGCAAACTTGACATTGAGCTAGATATTCGACGTAACTCACGAAGATAGTGTACACCCACTGTGCCGTAATCAATGAAATGAACACGTATACGATTATCGGGACGTGCAGCCAATATTTGTACGCGACACCATTGACCATTTTTCATGACTACAGCATATGTATTGCCTTTGGGAACGCCTGTAACGTCATTTGAATGTTTTCCAAAATTGTCAATTTTCTTGAGATTCTTTTGATATTCCTCGGTAATAGTTGGATCTGCTGAACGGATATAGCAACGATTTGCCGATTTAAAACCGGTCAACACCACAGTGCTACCGTCTGTGGGAAATTGTGTGGGTGATGGTATGAAACCCAATTGTCTTGCTTTGTATGCTTGTCGATTCTCTTCCTTTGTCTTTTCAACGGATTTTGTCTCAGCCCTTAGTGTGGGTAGGGGATCCTTTATAACACTTTCTTGGCCGGATTTAACCAATCGCCTGGAAGAAAGACAAACAATGTGATATATTGAAATTTACACAAGATAGCACGATTTACTTACGGCATGGGAAAACAAATAAAACGATGATTGGGCCAATCCTTTCGCTGACATTGTGGCGAACAATAAAAATCGCCACAACGTTCACATTTGCATACGGACGTTTTACCGCACAATGCACATAAACCGGTCTCGCTAATCTCTAAGCCGCTGTCACCATTGTCATTGCTACCTGACTTCCGAATACCATTCCCATTGTGTATACCACCGGCATGTTCAGGCTCTTCTCTTTCAGAATCCTCACTGATGAATTCACTATTTTCATCACTTGCTCCATTTGTGGCTGTGGCCATGGAAAGTCTGAAATTACCGGCAAAATTGAAATGATATTGCGATAAGTATTTCTAATATTATTGTTTTTTAATATTTAAATTTATCATTAAAATAAAATATATTACTTTTCTAAGCGCCTATCCATTTTTTGTTGACTTTGCAAAAACTTCCAGTACTTCCAGTGCACGCTAAGGGATCGCGCAATCGAAATGTGTTTCCCCTAGAGTTGGGTAGTTCCGGAACGAACTAGTTCATTGGAACTATTCCGAGAAAGGAACGAACGGAACTAGTTCCAGTTCTTTAATTAATATAAATGGTACAATTATAAAAGGTAACAGCAAATCCCAGCTGATTTGATTCCAACGTTATACTAGTGTCAATATGAATTTGACATATTATGTTTTTAAAAATCACCCAACAGGAAAATTGGGAGCGCATACAATTTAAAATTGTTCTTTATTAAATGTGCTCCTGTATTCAATTTACTCAATCTGGCTGCTGGGAAAGTTTGAGGAAGCAAATCTTTCTTCAAGGAATAACTCGCTATTCCCAGCATTTTCATATGTGTTACACATATATATGGCAATGGCTCAATTATAGGAAAGATGTGGAATAGATAGAAATATAAATTTGATAGATTTTCATTCATGTTTTCCAATTTTTATTTTGAGGATTCGAAAATATTTCATTTTCAAAAAAATA